TTTATGAACATTATTATTTAGATTTATAACAGTTTACTTAAATTTAGTTACAATAGTTTAATACTTATTAAACTTCATTATTCATTATTTTATCAAGAAAAATAAAGCAGTATCTGCTGGTGGAAGAAATGGATATGTTGTTACTAGTGATTTTATTTTGTGAGGAAAATTGCTTCTTGGCCTCAAGAGTCTATGCTCAAAGATATCCAAATAGGAATCTTCCTGATAAGCGTTCCTGAAAAAAATACTTTTCTATTTCGCAGAGCTATGGTAGTGTGGTTTATAAAAACCTATTAGGCAGAAACTAAGTAATTGGCTCTTTTATAGAAAATCCATATATCTACACTATAAGGCTACACTATAACCATATATCTAAGACAAATAGTAAAATAAATGAGAGAACTACTTCTTCGTTTTTCTTGAAAGAATAATAAATACATATTTAATAAATATTATTCATTAAACTACTGTAGACAAATTAAATAAAAGTAAACTGCTATACATTTAAATAAAGTACATAAACTAATTTCGATTTTGAAAATAGCTACTAACTGTCACTAGAAACTTGACATCAGCCATTTTGGTTCCCATTTTATTGAAAAATGGCTCTTTATTTTTCAATCTGAGCTGGATATGTATAGGAAACCCTAATATAGTTTGAAAGAGCATTTAAATCTGCTTCGATTTATTTAAAAAAAATACATGGTGTTGTATTTGAAATAACAAGTTTTTATGTAAAATAAATATTTAAAATAGACCAGCAATTGTTGATACCCCTGTATACATTAAACAAAGCAATTAAATTTTTCAGTAAAGTTTATTTCTCTGGCTTAAACGTCAGTACAAGAATTAATTCTAAAAGCAATGTACAGGGTGTTAATAATCTATTCTATTGTAGCATGCATTTTTAAATATCTTTAAATATCTCAAAACCAAAGATTTTTAAACGTATTTAACCCTTATAATAAATACCTTTTTGGGCCCAAGAATCCAAAAATGAAATAAAATACAGGGTGGGGTGTGTTCCATAAGAAAAATATAACTTTGGTATGGATCTTAGTTCTGAAACACCCTGTATATTTCAAAATAATTTTAAATTGTGCATGTTGCCTCCCCATATACCCATAAAATATTTTGTTTCTACATCTTTCCGTTTTCGTATAATCAACCGAGGCGAATGAGGGGGTGCGCCACCCTGTATTTTTTAGTAACGACTTAATAGGGTAATACAACTTCCTATAACCATAGCTTATTCTAAAATCTTCTATTTCTATTAAAATCTATCTATTCTATTCTACCAGCAAGTCTTCTTCGCTTATTTTTGTGTATCACCGGTTTCATCTGTCATGCCTTTTCTCATACATTCATGCTGACAGTCAGAGCAGAACGGTAAGAGGAGGCCGGGTGGACAACTGAAAAGATACAAGGACATTTTCCACGAAAATTTAAAGGGAATTAACATGCAGAATGAGTGGGAAAAAGCAGCTCACAATAGAACTCAATGGAGAAGGGTTGTAAACTCAGTTAACAGCGGCAACCAAAAAGTAGAGAGGCAACAAAGCAATGAAATTTTTGAATGTCCGGAGTGCGGTAGGCAGATAACATCACGTATCGGGCTTTTCAGTCACAGAAAAGCTCATGAAAGAAAACGGCTAATGCAAACTTGCAAAACTTATTATTATTACTTGAAAACTAAGGTTGCTTAATAACTAATTGAAAATGTTGCGAAATATTATGATAAATTGAAATATGGCTAAAAATAATGTGGAACTCTATATGAAAGGAAAATGTTGTATACGTAATTGCAAAATAGCATTTGTAAGTTAAATATTGATCAAACACAACTGAAGTGGTAATAAATATGGAGCTTAAATTTTGGATTATCTGTCATATGGTAGTATTTACCTGTTATGATGTATTTTTGCAGTTACTTTATTTAAACAGACTTTACTTTTAACATAAACAAACTAAATCTTTCTAAATAAATTTTGTTATTGTAGTTTGCAAATATGACTAATTAAGCTAGTACAACTAGTATGATATGCAGACATAAAATAAATAATGAAACAGGTTTATCAATAATTTGTTTAATTAACATGTAGCATACTTTGAATATCCTGAAAATGCTTCTTAGAGTATCTGCTAATAACGGAATATCTAAAACAAATCTAAATTAAAAACTTATATACCGAAATTACCGAATATACTGAATGTGCACTATTCAGTCATTTATATACCGGGTGGTGCATCGGCGTTGGAAACAAAGGAAATCCCTTGCTAATTTTGAACTGTCTAAATATCGGTTCCCCTGATTTTTTTCCTGATTTTACCACGAAGTCGTTAATAGGGTTTTTAAAGATGTGTGTATAATATATTGAATACACATGAAAATTTTGAACAAATTTGGAGAAGCTGTTTTTAACTAATTTAAGAAAACTGCATCTGTTTTTAAATTAAAACTAAACAAGATAACATTGCGAAACCAAACCAAATCAAAACATACCTTAAGTCCTCAACCTATGATTTTGTCAGTTTGTTGTCCTGATTACGTTACTACGTTATAGTACCTACTATAACTTTACTACGTTATAGTACCTACAGTACAGTTAGTGTACCCGAAATGGCATTTGTGTAATTTAAAACTTGTTACAAACAGGCAAAATCTTCTTCTTCTTCTTAATGTACCGACTTCTTGCGAAGGTTGGCGACCATCATGACTAATTTTATTTTGTTGACTGCTGCCCTGAACAGGTCGTTTGATGTACAGTTGAACCATTCTCTGAGATTTCGAAGCCACGACATCCGTCCTCTTCCTATGCTTCTCTTCCCTATTATTTTACCCTGGATAATTAGTTGTAGAAACTTGTATCTTGTACCTCTCATTACGTGGTCCATATATTGGAGTTTTCTGATTTTCACCTCTTGGGACAATTCTAGATCTTTTGAGACTCTTCGTAAGACTTCTTCATTGGTAATTCTGTCAACGTATGATATCCGGAGTACCCTTCTGTAAAGCCACATCTCGAAGGCATCTATCTTTTTAAGCATTTGTTTTGTTAGAGTGGCAGCTTCTATACCATAGAACATTATTGTAAATATGTAGCATCTTAGCATTCGTATTTTAAGGTGGTTACTTAAAGTTTTGCAACAAAAGAATTGCTTCATTTTAATAAAGGTGTTACGTGCTATTTCAATTCTCGTTTTTAATTCTGATGAGTAATCATTGTTGTCGTTGATCAGGATTCCTAGATATTTATAGACTAACCTTATATTTATAGACTCGCTCTATTATCTGATGGTTTACGATCAGTTGAGTATTTTGATTTGGTGTTTTGGTAAATATCATGAATTTTGTTTTATTAAGGTTTATATTCAAGCCATAATGGATACTTGTTTCATACACTTTTTGGGCCATTCGTTGCAGGTCCTGTATACTTTCTGCTAGCAGTACGGTATAATCTGCGTATCGTATATTGTTTAGAGGAACTCCGTTTACTACTACTCCAGCTGCTTCATTGTGTAATGCCTCCCTCATGATGACTTCCTAGTACATATTAAACAATAGCGGGGAAAGTATACATCCCTGTCGTACACCACGTTTGATGTTGCTGTTTTCCGTGTATTTATTGTCTATCTTGATGTTTGCTGTTTGGTCGTAATATAGGTTTTCAATAATTCTGGCATCTGTGGTATATATTTGCTTTTCTCTCAGAATTTTGATAAGTTGTTCATGACGGACTCTGTCAAATGCTTTCTCATAGTCCACAAAGCAGGCGTACACATCCTTGTTAACATCCAAACAGCGCTGAGTCAACATGTTTATACTAAAGAATGCTTCTCTCGTGCCAACTCCATTGCGGAAACCGAACTGTGTATCGCTGATGTCGTTATCCAGTTTTTTATACACACGGTAGTGAATTATTTTTAAAAATAATTTGAGTGTATGGCTCATTAGGCTTATGGTCCTATGATCTTTACATAATCTTGCGTTGGCTTTCTTAGGAATCACAATGAAGGTCGACACCAACCAGTCTTTTGGTATCGTTCCTGATCTGTAGATCACATTGAAGAGCTCAGCAAGTGCATCCAAGCTATGTTCCTTAAGCAGTTTTACCATTTCAATGGGTAGTTCGTCTGGGCCAAGTGCTTTCCCGTTCTTCATGTTCTTCAGCGCATATTCTATTTCATCTGTTGTTATTTCTGGTCCGGTTTCTATATCATTTTCTGGGGGTAAAGGTCTATTTCTGTCATCTTCGAACACAGTTAGTGACCACAGTTAGTTAACACAGTTAGTGTACCCGAAATGGCATTTGTGTAATTTAAAACTTGTTACAAACAGGCAAAATCTTAACGTTTAGGAAATACAACTTGACAGTTACAAGATCATAGATAAGACAACTTAAGGTATGTTAGCATTTGCCTGATTTTGCATTTTAAGTTAAAAATAGATGCAGTTTTTCTTAAATTTCTTAAAATTGGTTTGTACAAATTTATTCAAAGTTGGCCTTTAAAAAAAATTGAGTCAATTCCTATTGTAGAGACCTGAATATGGTCATCCTCCGTCGAGTTGATGACTCGCCAACTCGATATCCTACCGCAAGGGTTAGTGTTAGTACCGAAGGGAGACGAGAATACAATGGAGTGCCCCCTGGTGCACCAAGGTTGAGATCAATTTCTTTTAACCACCTTTAACAGTTACTGACCGATCTAAGAGTTCACACTCAATTTACTCATAAATAAAATCAGGGGCGGATACAGGAATTTATTTTAGGGGGGGGGGCCAAAATAAAAAGTAATATAGAATATGCTCTTTAGGATGCCATTTTTAACCGAAAAGTCTAATATTTAACACAACTTACAGACATTAGGGGGGGCCCTGGCCCCATGGGCCCCCCCTCTGTGCCCGCCACTAAATAAAATATCAAACCGTTTTAAAAAATCAAACATCAAATGGATTATATTTTGTATAAATTTATTTTCAATGTAAGAGAGCAATAATATGAAGAATTAACACACTATATTACAACATCGGAGTATTTTTTTACAATTATTATAGACAAAGATATAATATTTTTATTTATAGTTTGTTAAATTAACTTTTAACATTCAACATTACTTGAATATCCTGAAAACTTTTTCCTTTTGTTTCGGGGACTACAGTACAACAATATATTGCTCCCGTTAGCATTATTACAGCAAAAATAAGAAAAGTACTACCTATTCCAGCCAGCTGCACTAAATAAGAAAAGCTTATAGTCACACCCAGACATATTACATAATTTGTGATGCACACAATAAAGGAAGCACTGTTTTTAACACTGGATGAAAACACTTCACCTAGTATTACCCATGGAAGAGCTGCCAAACCTATATTGAACGCCAGAATATACAATATCAAACTGACAATTGGTATCCAGAATATTGGTGAAGTATCTATACCGTTATCGTAAAGAAAGAAATAAACTGATAATGCTGATAAAGAAATAAAAGCCAGAGTGCATGATATGACAAGAAGTATTTTTCTACCCATAGTATCTATTAAGCGACTACTAATTAGAACAGAGAGTAACGATACGCTACCAACTACACTAGCGGAAATGTCTGATCTTATAACACTTCCAGCCATCTGGAAAATGGTTTCAGTGTAAGAAACAACAGCACCAATACCTGATAATTGCTGGAAGGCCATTAAAAACAGGCAAATCTTTAAAGCTTTTTTTAGTCCCCTGTCTTTAAACAAATCCATGAATGTTTTATCATTTCCAGACTTAATGGAACTAGCAATGTCGCTTAATTCTTTTTCAACGTTGGAATTAAAACGAAGTTTTGATAAGCTTTTTTCAGCCTTTACCAGCTTTTCTTTTATAATCAAGTCGTACGGACTATCTGGAGAAAAGAAACCGTAGAAAACATAAAATAAAACCAAAGGTACCAGGTTTACTATGCTGAAACTCCATAACGTTAAGTAAGGTCCAACCAAATAGGATACCATGCTTCCTGCGGCACCCATAACTCCTGCCATCGTACCGAAAAATCCTCTGTTATTATCCTGGGCTATTTCGGCAACATAATTTGGCAGAACGGTCCACAAAGAGCCTGTAGTCATACCCATAAAAAATCTGGCTACAAAGAAATAGCCAATTTTATCAGGAAACATGAGTAAAATATGGGCCAGCACAAGAGGAATACTGACGATCAACAATACGCTTTTCTTAGTAAAGAACTTATGTAGAAACAAAGAGACCGGAGTACTGCAAACTAAACCCACTTGCATAAATGATACAAGCCATGTTTCTTCTTCTACAGTTATAGGGCGGCCAAGAACATTAACACTATTGTCTTCGGATTTCAGTTTTGGCAGAATCGGTGAAGTCCACGTCCAACAGCCTCCACCAGCAAAAACAGCTAAGTTTGCTGAAATTAAAATTAATATCAATAACACTACAGAATACACACAACCAAACTTATATAGAATCACTTTTTATTTCTGACTAAACTTTTTGCAAAGAAAAAAAATGGTACACAACTTTAAGATAAGGCTTTTTGTTGTAAATAAACATGATAATAAAGAATAAACGACTGATGCGATTTATTTTCTTGTGAATTTTGTGTTCAGTAGTAAAATCACGATTGTTCGTTAATTTTCATTCGATCCAAAAAAATAAAAAAAATGCCTTATATTGGATTAACAAATGAACAGAGGAGAAGATTTGTTGTTCTCATTGAAAAAGGAATGCACCAAATAGACGTAGCAGAAACAGTAGGTTACCCAGGGTGTTGTATCAAAAACATATGCAAAGTTGGAACTAGGAACTGTCAAGAACAGGTCCAGACAAAGTCGTCAAAGAGTCACAAGACCGCTTTGTGTGCCAAATTGCTATAAGAAATCCGAATGCTTCTCATCTAAAGTTACAAAGACAACTTCTGGTAGCGACAGATGTGAACATTTCCAGTTGAAACCATAAGAAAAAAGTTTTATACTCGAGGGTTGTACAGTAGAAGAGAGAGTTACAGGTCCCACAGTTATCTCGGCAAAATAAAATTGACCGGCTAAATTGGTGCCTTCAACATCAAAACTGAACAATTGAGAATTGGTAAAATGTTCTTCTTTCGGAGACCAGAATTGGCCTAAGATCAGATAACCATTGAATTCGGGTTCCAGAGCTCCAGGCTGCCAAATCTGTACCAAGATAAAAAGGAGGAATTGTAATGTTCTGAGGAGGTATTATGCTGGGAGAAAAAACTACATTGTTACCACTTTAACAAACTTTAATAGGTCGGAGATATGTTGATTTAGTGCTACAACCAATCGTTATAGGCTTTGGAGAGCTGCAATTTTATAATAATTTTATATTCGATTTAAACTCGATAATGCACCTCATCATACCAGCAGAATGCCTAGAGAATGTCTTGAAACGGAAGGTGTCATAGTTTTAGACTGCCCTGCATGTTCACCAGATCTAAACCCTATCGAACATTTGTGGGACCAGCTCAAAAGAAGGGTTAGAGCTCGTCGAAACAATCCAGGAAATCTCGCACAGCACTGATGCAGCATTAGCAGAATAACAACGTTGATAATTTAATAAGAAATATGCCAGCGCGGATGGAAGCTCACATATGGGCTAGATGTCGCAACAGGGATTATAAAAATTATCAATTTTCTTTTTATTTTTGCTTTTTAAAGCAAAGAACGAAGCAAAGAACCGAAGAAATTCCATTGTATTTATTTTTGGAAGTGATTAATTTTTTTTATTGTAATATATGTATTATTTTTCATTAAAAGTTTTTGGTATGAACTGAGTTTTATTCATAGACACAATATGTTCATACGTGAAAAATAATACATAATTCCGTATACGTTTAGGTAGAGTTTATTCTAATTAGATTTTAAAACTTACCTGAAAATACAGAAAAATATAAGTACCAGTTAGTTTTTGGGGATTTTTCGGTCATTTTTTACTGAAATATGTAATAATTTCACAACAATTTAAATGCACTTATAACTTCTACGTTATACTACAATTAAAAGGTGGATAGGTCTACTGTGTCTTATTTTATCATGCTAACTAAATTTAACACGTGAAGCACAAAATGATTTATAGGTACTGCCAAGAGAGAAGATATCAAGAATCAAATAATGGATTTTTATAGTCTTAAAGAGGATTACCAATCTTTGTGCCTTTTAAAAATGTTTTTTGTGTGTCATTGTCCTATTTAATTAATTCATTTTATTTAATATAACCGTTAGATTTACACGGAGCTTCGCCATATTTCCAAAATAAAAAAAAAGTTTGTTGCTCTTCTCATTTCGATAGGAAATACGTTAATATTTTAGGTGACACACCTCCTATATCTCAATTATATTTAGGACATTTTTCCATAACACAACGGTATCAGGTATTGTTCTTGATATTAGAAGTGTAATATTGTATTTCTATTAATAAATAGTTTTTGACACATTTGTTAAAACTGGCTATAAACCTCAGAGTAATAATATCTCGAATAATATATAAGAAGCACTAGCACTAATCTAGCACAGCTAAAAAATATCTATGCCTCTGTGACGGATTAATCTCTTCAAAAAAGTCCTCTGAGTATTTGGCCAATTACACGTAAACGTTAAGCATTTTTTGTCCATAAAGGTACCGTGAAGTGGGGCGACTTTGCCCAATTCGGAATTTTAAATCGTGTTTATTTCAAAAATTGTTGTATTTTCTCAAATGCGCATGGTCTATGCTATAAGCGGTAATAAGGACAACACAACAATAATACGCTTTTTTGTTTATTAAACAAATATATAAGAAAAGTAAAAAACTGGATGGGCAAAGTTAGCTTATATGGGGTGTCTTTGCCCTCTTCCTTATTCTTATTGATAGACCAAAGCCACCCCATTTAAAAGCATAATTACGTAAAATATGCTTCATCACCCTCAATATTATAACGAACTTCTGCATAATACTTACCTCAATATAGCGTGGTTAACTATTGCAGCCACGTAGAAGTTTGAAACCCACAAAATAGGCTTTAAAAACAGATTTGGCTTCACAGCACTGTAAATGCTACATCGCAACTGACAACAAGCATTTAACAACGTTCCGAGACGTGGGGCATTTACCGATGACACATAACGCGTTCTTTTCAAGTAGTGGCTACGGCTACGTCTAACATATTTTCGGACGGAATTTGGAAAAGTCACCCCAAGAGGCAAAGTCACCCCATTTCACGGTACCTACCACGTACCTACGTACAAACTGCAGGATCAACATCGGGTCATATTCGCGTCGCGTTCGCGTCGCGTCGAGGTGTTCAGGTTAGAAGCGTCAGTTCAGTGTCATGTGAGGTTACAATTGGAAACGTCAGTTGGCTTTGGCGGCTCCAAATTTGCATCAGTTTAATATGAACGTTATCACATAGATAAATACAACAAGTTTAGATTGGAAAGCCCGTAAAAATTTCAGGTCGCGAAATTATTTTGGGTCGCGACCGTTATACGCGATCTGGCGCTGCTATAGCGGTCGCTAAGAACAACGGCAAACAAAAACAGAAATAATTTTCTCTTGTCAAAGTCAGAATCTTCAAAAATCATAATAATCTTTCAAAAATGCTTTGTTTCAAAATCTAAACCGATCTCATTAAAGAAATCCCGAAAAGTGTTTATAGCGTCCATTTTCAAAGTAATTATTGCTATCTTGTGAGTTTAATTCAAGTTTTATTTACTCCAACCGGTGATAATTGTGAAAAAGTGGCATTAGAAACTTAAAAAGCTGTGCTGTGAACCGTGAACTGCAAAAACCATCGTGGATCGTGGCATAACGTCGGTTTCCAATGTTTCATAGGTATTTCATACATGCGTCATTATATAAAATAAAGTTTCTTGTATGCAACACACTGTATTTTATTTATAAAATTAAACGAAAATAATAATAAATTTGAATAAACAATATTTGGCGATCTAATTCCGGAAAAAGCCGAACCGCTCCGAAATTTTCTAAAGTTTTGGGTCGCGACCGTTGCAAGAATAGCGCCAAATAGTGTTTACATTGTCCTTATGGGCACTTTCCAATCTAAACTTGTTTCATTTATCTATGCATTATCACTAGCTAATCCTAATAATAATAGGTAGTGATAATACATACATACATACAGCCGTTACTCGCTGACGAGTATTCGACACACATAAAGAAAATGGTCACGCAAGGCGTTTTCTTTCATGAGCTTTTCTGTGACTGAAAAGCCCGATACGTGATGTTATCTGCCTACCGCACTCCGGACATTCAAAAATCTCATTGCTTTGTTGCCTCTCTACTTTTTGGTTGCCGCTGTTAACTGAGTTTACAACCCTTCTCCATTGAGTTCTATTGTGAGCTGCTTTTTCCCACTCATTCTGCATGTTAATTCCCTTTAAATTTTCGTGGAAAATGTCCTTGTATCTTTTCAGTTGTCCACCCGGCCTCCTCTTACCGTCCACAAGCTCACCGTAAAGCAGAGATTTTGGTATGCGGTTTTCTTGCATTCTGCATACGTGACCAGCCCATCTTAAGCGGGATTTTGTGACCATGACTTCAATACTCTCGCAGTTAGATTTTTCAAGGACCGATACGTTTGAGACATGATGGAACCACCGGACTCTTAAGAGTTGTCTAAGGTGTCTCTGTTGCAACTTGTTCAATGCGTTCATGTGTCGGCGGTAAGGCACCCAGGTTTCGCTCCCATATATCATGGTGGGGATTATAATTGCTCGGTATACTGCAAGTTTTGTTTTTGTACTCAAGTATGATTGTAGAAAACCCTGTCTTTTAATTTCCAGAATGCCCTTGAGGCGCTACTAATCCTGTGCTGAATTTCAGAGTCAATATTGGCCTTTTCCGAAATCAAACTGCCAAGGTAATTGAATTCCGCCACATATTCCAATAGTTCTTCTCCGATTTTTATAGCATTGTTGTGATCTTCCGGGTGAGTGCACATGATTTTAGTTTTGTCGATGTTTAGCTTAAGGCTCAAAGCCTCGTATGCCCAGGTATATGTGTTCAACATTTCTTGTAATTGTTGTACCGTGTTTGCAACTAGAGTGCAGTCGTCAGCGTATTGAAGTTCTGTGATAAATTTTGTACGTGTTTTTGCCCTGAGTCTTTTTATGTTGAACAGACCGCCGTCATATCAGTATCTAATGCCCAATCCTCTCTCCTGCAGTTTGCTGTCCACTATAATGGAGAGCGCTGCCATGAATATGTTGAATAGGAGAGGCGCTAAGACACATCCCTGCCTAACTCCTGTATTTGTTAGGAATGGGTCTCTCAGTGATCCATGATGTGACACTCTTGACTTGTTGTTTTGGAGGCTTTTACACACTGTAAGAAATTTGTTGGGTACTCCGAACTTTTCCATAATTGCCCAAAGCGCATCTCTGTTCACAGAGTCGAAGGCTTTTGTTAGATCGATGAATGCAACATAAAGTTTAGACTCCTGCTCTTTTACTTTTTCCTGTAGTTGACGGATGGAAAATATGGAATCGACGGTGCCGCGGTTGGTACGAAAACCCCTTTGCGATTCTGGAAGGATTTTTTCTATATATGGGTGCAGGCGGTTTGACATTATTTTTGCAAGAATTTTTCCGCCGATAGCCAATAGCGAAATTCCCCGGTAATTTCCGCAGTCTGATGCACTTCCTTTGTTCTTAAATATATTCACTATATTCGCGTTGCGAAAATCGTGAGGTACCTCTCCGCTTTCCCATACGACATCAAAGAGAGCCTTAAGATGATCCATAATTTCTTTACTTGCACACTTATAGATTTCCGCCGGAATCGCGTCACAGCCAGCTGATTTGTTGCTGTTTTATGGAGGTCTTTATTTCTTGTTCTGTTATTGGGATGTCTAATACATCGAGGCTGTTATACTGAGGTATTGTGTTTAGTGCTTCCATATTGGGGTTGTTTTCTTGGTTAAGGATATGGCTGTAATGTTCTTTCCAGTGATTTCTGATTTGTTCTTCCTCTTTTAGAAGTTCGCCATTTTGAGCCATGATTGGGCAGCTTACCTTCTTAGTTGGACCGTATACTTCTTTTACAGCCTCGAAGAATTTACGATAATCGTGATGAGTGGCGTACTCTTGAATCTGATTCGCTTTTTGTGACCACCAGTTATCCTTTACTTGGCGCAGTTCTCTTCGAAGGGTGTTGTTGGCTGCTTTAAAGTTATCTACCAGTCTTGGATTAAGTGGATTTGCAGTGACGGCTTGATGTGCTCTATGCTTTTGTTCCAAAAAAGCCTGTATATGCTGTTGATTTTCGTCAAACCAGTCTGGTTGTTTCTTTTTGTTCGACTTTCCCAGTACTGCTTCGCTGGTTTTATGAATCGCATCCCTTAATTGTGTCCAGTCTTGTTCAGCTTCCAATATTGAGATTGAAGTTATCGGTGGAAGTGATTCTTTGATGGCTTCCCGGAGGGCGTCGGCGGTATTCTTGTTCTCTAGATCCCGTACGTTCAATCTGGTCATGTTGTTTTGCTTTTTACAGCGTGGATGTTTGGGTTTTAACTGGATTTTCATTTTTGAAATTAAAAGTCGGTGGTCAGTGCCGCATTCGGCATCTATTCTAGCTTTTGTGAGCCTAACATCTTTTAGATGCATCCTTCGAACGATTATGTGGTCCAATTGATGCCAGTGGCCTGATCTAGGATGTTTCCAGGTATCTTTAAACTTGTTCATCAACATGAACCACGTATTGGTGATGCAAAGATTATACTCTGCGCATGTTGTTAATAAGCGTTCACCATTGCTATTTGCGTTTTCCATTGTTTTCCCAATACGTCAGGCCATATTTCCTGTTGTTTGCCTACACGGGCATTAAAGTCACCTAGCAAGATGATTCGTTCGTGCTTTGGAATTCGTTGAAAGGCATTTTGTAATGCTTGGTAAAATTTATCCTTATCTTCAATTTTAGCGTCAAGGGTGGGAGCGTAGGCACTAATGTTGTTGACGTAAGTTTTGTCTGATATGGGGTACCTTAGGGTCATAAGACGTTCGGAGACACCAATAGGTACTTCTGTTAACTTGGTGGCGATTTCGTTTTTGATCGCAATGCCTACACCATGAATTCTCCTGTGTGTTGCGGGGTGACCTTTCCAAAAGAAGGTGTAATGCTCCTCAGTGAGACTACCTTCATCTGCAAAGCGTGTTTCGCTTAGAGCGGCAACATCTATATTTAATCGGTGGAGTTCCTGTGAGACCAGTGCTGTTCTTCTCTCTGGTCGATTTGAATTTATCTTGTCCAGTAGAGTGCGGACGTTCCACGCCGCGAACGTGAAACATTGATGTTTTTTGTTTCTCCGATGATACGCTCAGTAGGCACCCCCTCCCGGAGATCCGATTGAGGGGTATTTTACCTCCGGACGATAATTTTGTCCCACTCGAATGTTCCATCATTGCTGTGTGTAAGCTGCGTGAAAAGGTTTAACTGTGGCGGTTACGCTGCCGCACAGTTTTGGCTGCAACTGTAGCACGGGATGGCTATGGCACAGTGAGGACTGCGACGATAGTTCCCTTGTGCTACGTTCTCGGCCGGCTAGGTGTATTTTATTACTCCTTTTCCCCAGAAGATGGTAGGTCTGAGGGTTGTATAAGGTTATACCGCCTATACTCGGACGTCAGAGCCTCGTTTGTGTAAACAGGGTGCACCACGTGAAGGTGAGGTTGACTTTTGGGTAAGCTAGGCTATATGTATCGCTTCAATACCCCTTGCACCCCCGTAGTGATAATATGAACATTATCACTACCAAACCCCACGGGATAGCTCCATGATGACTTTCCCGCTGTTCACAAAACGCCAATAGTCATACCCACAAAGAATCTGGCTGCGAAGAAATAGATAATTTATTTGGTGAACATTAGTAACAACATTGTCCAGCATAAGTGGAACAAGCATAAGTGGAACAAGCTACTGACAAATACTAATGTTGTAGTATAACAACCTAAGTTCGTTCAACAAAGTTGACGAGGTATATTTTGGCCAACTGTATAACAAACAATTTAAATAAAATAAATTTCTTTTCAACATTGGAATTGCAACGAAGTTTTGATAACCTGATTTCAGCTTCTGCAAGCTTTCCTTTTATAATCAAGTCGTACGGACTATCTGGACAAAACAAACCGTATAAAATAGAGAAAAGTACCAAAGGTATCAGGTTTACTATACTAAAAGTCAATAACGATACGTAGGGTCCAACTAAATAAGATACCATTGTTCCCGCAGCACCCATAACTCCCACTATTATCCCGAGAAATCATCTGTTTGAATCCGGAGCTATTTCGGCAACATAACTGGGAAGAACGGTCCACAGAGAACCGGTAGTTATTCGCATAAAGAATCTAGCTACGAATGAGTGGACAATCTGATCAGCGAACATCAGTAAAATATGGGTCAGCACAAGTGGAACTGTAACAATTAGTAATATATTTTTCTTGGTAAAGAACTTGGGAAGAAGCAAGGAAACTGGAGTATTACAAATTAAACCCAACTGCGTAAACGCGAAATTTTTTGAGTGGAAGAACTGCATTGCGAGGCTTAGCGTTTCAAGCATTTTATGATTTTGATGGGATGATATTTTCTTTTAAACGAAAACGTATACAGGTGTATTTGGGAATAAAAAATGCCCTCTGACACTAACTTCCAAAAAAATATATATCACAAGCACCTCGCTGCAGAATGCATTCTGTTAATCTATTAAGTGGGTACAATTTTTCTGTAACCTAAATTTGCTGCACTTAAATTTTTGTCTTCGCAAAATGATTAAACCATTTTGTAATAAATGTAACAAGTAAGCAGAATTATTTAAAAAAGGTCATTAACTTTTCAAAATATAAAAAGAATCTTCGATCAGTTGTAACGTAGGTATATTTTAAACTTCAAATAGGTTATATATATGAGTATATTTATTTTCACTATTGTAAGAGAGCAATAATATAAAAATTAACACAGTATATTACAATATAATTAACGATTTAACTTTTACAACTGTTATGTACAAATTTCTAACATTTTTATTTACAGTATATGACATTAAGTTTTAACATTCAACATTATTTGAATATCCTGAAAACTTATTTCTTTCGTTTCAGCCACAACAGTATAGCAATATATTGCTCCCGCTAGCATTATTACAGCAAAAACAAGAAAAGTACTACCTATTCCAGCTAGCTGCACTAAATAAGAAAAGCTTATAGTCACACCCAGGCATATTACGTAATTTGTAACGCAAACAATAAAAGAAGCACTATTTTTAACGTTGGAAGAAAATACTTTGCCTAGTATTACCCAAGGGAGAGCTGCTAAACCTATATTGAAACCGAGAATGTACGCTATCAAACTGACAATTGGTAACCAAAATATCGGAAAAGTATCAACACCGTTGTCATAAAGAAGGAAATAAACTGATAATGCCGATAACGAAATAAAGGCCAAAGTGCACGATATGACAAGAAGAATTTTTCTTCCCATAGTGTCTATCAATCGGCTACTGATTATAACAGAAAATAACGATACACCACCAATTACACTAGCCGAAATGTCTGCTCTTATGGTACTTCCCGCCATAACGAAAATGGTTTCAGTATATGAAAGAACAGCACCGATACCTGGTAATTGCTGGAATGCCATTAAAAGCATGCCAATTTTTAAAGCTTTTTTTAGACCTCTATCTCTAAACAAGTCGATAAATGTTTTATTATTACCAGAGTTAATGGAACTGGAAATGTGGCTTAATTCCTTTTCAACATTGGAATTGCAACGAAGTTTTGATAAGCTGCTTTCAGCCTCTGCAAGCTTTCCTTTTATAATCAAGTCGCACGGACTATCTGGAGAAAACAAACCGTATAAAATAAAGAAAAGTACCAAAGATATCAAGGTTTACTATACTAAAAGTCAATTACGATACGTAGGGTTTAACTAAATAAGATACCATTGTTCCCGCGGCACCCATAAATCTCATTATTGTACCGAGAAATCCTCTGTTTCAATTCGGCAACATAACTCGGAAGGACGGTCCACAGAGAGCCGGTAGTCATTCCATAAAGAATCTAGCTACGAAGAAATGGACAATCTGATCGGCAAACATCAGCAATATATGAGTCAGCACAAGTGGAACAGTAACAATTAGTAATATGTTTTTCTTGGTAAAGAACTTGTGAAGATGCAGGGAAACTAGAGTATTACAAATTAAATCCAACTGCGTAAATGCGAACTTTTTTAGTGGAAGAACTGCATTGCGAGACTTAACGTTTTCCTTTTATAATCAAGTCGTACGGACTATCTGGAGAAAACAAGCCGTATAAAATAAAGAAAAGTACCAAATGTATCAGGTTTACTATACTAAAAGTCAATAACGATACGTAGGGTCCAGCTAAATAAGATACAATTGTTCCTGCAGCACCCATAACTCCCGCTATTGTACCGAAGAATCATCTGTTTGAATCCGGGGCTATTTCGGCAACATAACTCGGAAGGACGGTCCACAGAGAGCCGGTAGTCATTCCAAAAAGAATCTAGCTACGAAGAAATGGACAATCTGATCGGTAAACATCAGCAAAATATGGGTAAGCACAAGTAGAACAGTAAAGAACTTGTGAAGAATCAGAGAAACTGAAGTACTACAAATTAAATCCAAATGCGTAAATGCGAACTTTTTTTGTAGAACTGCATTGCGAGACTTGGCGTTTCAAGCATTTTATGTTTTTGATGGCAGAATGCATTCTGTTAATCTATTAAGTGAGTACAATTTTTCTGTAACCTAAATTTGCTGCACTTAAATTTTTGTCTGTTTGCAAGGTGATTAAACCATTTTGTAATAAATATAACAAGTAAGCAGAATTATTTAAAAAAGGTCATTAAGTTTTCAAAATATAAAAAGAATATCTGATCAGTTTGTAACATAGGTATATTTTAAACTTCAAATAGGTTATATATGAATAGATTTATTTTCACTACTGTAAGAGAGCAATAATATAAAAATTAACACAGTATATTACAATATAATTAACGATTTAACTTTTACATCTGTTATGTAAAATTTCTAACATTTATATTTACAGTATATGAAATTAAGTTTTAACATTCAACATTATTTGAATATCCTGGAAACTTTTTCCTTTCGTTTCAGGGACAACAGTATAACAATATATTGCTCCCGCTAGCATTATTACAGCGAAAACAAGAAAAGTACTACCTATTCCAGCTAGCTGCACTAAATAAGAAAAGCTGATAGTCACACCCAGGCATATTACATAATTTGTAACGCATACAATAAAAGAAGCACTATTTTTAACGTTGGAAGAAAATACTTCGCCTAGTATTACCCAAGGAAGAGCTGCTAAACCTATATTTAAACCGAGAACGTACGCTATCAAACTGACAATTGGTAACCAAAATATCGGAGAAGTATCAACACCGTTGTCAGAAAGAAGGAAATAAACTGATAATGCCGATAACGAAATAAAGGCCAAAGTGCACGATATGACAAGAAGAATTTTTCTTCCCATAGTGTCTATCAATCGGCTACTGATTATGACAGAGAATAACGATACACCCCCAACTACACTGGCCGAAATATCTGCTCTTATGGTACTTCCCGCCATAAGAAAAATGGTTTCAGTATAGGAGAGAACAGCACCGATACCTGACAATTGCTGGAATGCCATTAAAAGCATGCCAATTTTTAAAGCTTTTTTTAGACCTCTATCTCTAAACAAGTCGATAAACGTTTTATTATTTCCAGAGTTAATGGAACTCGAAATGTGGTTTAATTCTTTCTCAACATTGGAATTGCAACGAAGTTTTGATAAGCTGCTTTCAGCTTCTGCAAGCTTTCCTTTAATAATCAAGTCGTACGGACTATCTGGAGAAAACAAGCCGTAGAAAATAAAGAAAAGTACCAAAGGTATCAGGTTTACTATGCTAAAAGTCAATAACGATACGTAGGGTCCCACTAAATAAGATACCATTGATCCCGCAGCACCCATAACTCCTACTATTGTACCAAGAAATCCTCTGTTTGAATCTGGAGCTATTTCGGCAACATAACTCGGAAGGACGGTCCACAGAGATCCGGTAGTCATTCCCATGAAGAATCTTGCTACGAAGAAATAGACAATCTGATCGGCGAACATCAGTAAAATATGGGTCAGCACAAGTGGAACAGTAACAATAAGTAATATGTTTTTCTTGGTAAAGAACTTGTGAAGAAGCAGGGACACTGGAGTACTACAAATTAAACCCAGCTGCATAAACGATACAATCCATGCTTCTTCTTTTACAGTTACTGGACGGCCTAGGACATTTACACTAAAGTCTTCGGATTTCAATTTGGGCAAAACTGGCGAGGTCCAAGTCCAGCATCCCCCAGAAGCAAAAACAGCCAGATTGGCTAAAATAAAATGTAACAATTCTCACAAAGTACAATATTTTTACATTAATTATTTTAAAAACATACCTGAAAATACTGAAAAATATAATAACCAGTTAATACTTTTGGATTTTTCAAACATTATGCCCAGTTTTTTTTATAATTACACAGCAAATTAAATGCACTTATAACTTCTACGTTATACTACAATTAAAAGCTGTATAGGTCTACTGTATCTTATTTTATCTTGCTAACTAGAGTTGACACGAAGAAAACAAAATAATTTATACTGCCAAGAGTGGGGGTATCAAGAATCAAATAATAGATTCTGGTAGTCTTATAAAGGATTACATATCTTTGTGTCTTTCAAAAACATTTTGTTTGATGTGTTATTGTCTTATTTAATTGAAAAAACTAACAATTGCCATATGGCCCGCTTATCTAACAGCCAATTCAATAATATGAAAATAATATTTATAAAAACAATAGTGTAATATTGTTCTCGGTATTAGCAGGATAATATTTTCTTTCTATTAATAACTACACTGATAGAAATATTCTCTTGAATTTCAAGAGTATGGGAATCTAACTGTATGAACTTCAAAAATCTGATTCCTCTATTTAAAAGTAATTCCTTATATGAAGTAAGCGTTATCTCTGTTGAGAAATTAATTCTCCAGTTAGTCCTCTCTCACTTAGTTCCAAAATAGCAGATCATCGACATATATGAAAGCCGTATGGTCTTGAATGAACTTTGAATCATCAAAACTTATTAAATTTTAGCCAAGTTATTAAACAATTTGTCTTTCAATCAATGATACGCTTGTGAAATATATCTTCGGAACGTTAAGAATTGGAGAGAAAACTTCGAAGCGGAATATCTCGAAAACTACTAATTCTACGTAAAAAATTAGGACCATTTTTGTATATAATCACCTAAGCTTTATTTTTTATTCCAAGAACTCCTAACCAACCTTATTTCAAGAATTCCTAACCAAACTTTTGTAAATTGCATATTTTGGCAGATATTTGACAAAAACTGATCTTGTGGCCGAGCACGGTGTTTTCCCTTAAAAGGTACACAATCCGCCTAAAATGTCAAAGTCGACCAGTTACGTCGAGACTTGGGTCTTTTCGTGTCCTTATTTACTCAGAAAGTAAGTAAAAATAAAAAATAAAATAAAATAATCTTTATTACATGCACAAACAAAAGAGTACATATAAAGATGGAAAGTACCGCAAAGCGTATTTTAATTTTTAATAACCACCATGCCTAAAATAATAAAATACTTAAAATAATAACAAACTTGAAAAGCAACAACAATAATAATTATTAACACTTAAGAATACTAATTAACAGATAAAAAAAAATCTTATTAGGAACTTTAAATGACCTATAGCTCTAGAGCCCTGTCTTTGGCATATTGTTGCGGACCCGTGCCGTGCGAACTCGTCCTGGCCACTCGCCTATGACTCATACGCCCAGCGACGCCGACGTTCTAGAACGAATAAGAATTGTCGAGACAAATCTGGATTGTCTGTTGCTCTCATATATAAGCAGACGCCTGAGGCCTGAGGAGGACAGAGAACAAACAGACGTTCGACGTGTACAGTTGTCGCGCGCTACGTTCAAAATAAATTCCTGTTAGATAAATAGTTAGATAAATTGTAAATAAGTTATAAATAGTTCTTTAAGTCGTTTAATCGTTATCGTTTTTGTTAATTAGTGTTAAATAAATTGTGTTTAAATAAATTGTGACTTTCTATCCACACGAAACCGACGAAAAACGTAACAATATCTTTTAATGTTCTGCTTAAATGCAGGCACGCTTAAAACTTTGAAATCCCGCGGCAAAGGATTGTAGATATGAGCCGCCAAATAGAGAAAACAGGATTTAAAAAATTCAGTTCTATGCTGTGGAATAGTTATGGCATCTCTGAAGCGTATGTTTACCTGATGAGCGTTACTTCGAATATTAATTAGTTCCAAGAGATACAGAGGATGTTGGATAGTTAGAACTTTGTGTATTAGGCAACTCATCTGAACACATCGTTTTTGTGCCATATTACAATGAAAAATCTCCTGTATATGTTGGCTTACATGATCTCTCCTTGTCAACCCTCTTACAAATCTGACACAGGAGCTTTGCAATTTTTGAATTCGATACTTGTTAAACTGAGTTAGGAACGGACCATAGACTATGTTTAGGTAGCCAGGTATAGAAAGGACCAAACTGTCAACAAGGAGTCTCTTGGCATCGAAAGATAAAATATTTTTAAATTCATAAATTGATTTTAGTTTGTAGTATGATCGCTGACAGACATAACTTATATGCTTATTGAATGTCAGTTTGGCGTCCATAATGAGACCAAGATTTTTGACCTCATTAGTCCAATCAACTTTAACATTATTTAGAAAGATATTGTGATTTGTTGGGTCCAGATCATTGCGTGAAAAAAGAATTGCCTGTGTTTTGGTTGGGTTTATGAGAAGAGAATTTGCAGATGTCCAGTTTGAAATAGACTTAAGGTCCAAGTTAATCAGGTCTACATGTTCAGAGAGACGAGAGAGAGAAGATGGTAGGTAAACTTGAAGATCGTCAGCATATAGGCGGTATTGACAAAACTTGATGTGTTGAACGAGATATTCCATTGAACCCTGCGACACGCCCCTCCCCACAGTAGCCCATTTCGAAGGTTCTACCTCATTCCCCACCACCAATCTGACAGCCTGCTGCCTATTTTGAAGATTTTGAAGCTTTCAAAGCAGCCATTTGCGCTTAACTAATAATGATTTAATTTAGCTAGTAATAATTCGGTGTCTAGACTATCAAAAGCTTTTGTCATATCTATCAAGATCGAGGGAACCCAATCCACTTTATCAAACGCTGAACTTATATCATCAGTGACCTTTAACAGTGCTGTGGTACAGCTATGATAAGGTAGAAATCCAGATTGTAATTTTGGTAACATATTTTTACTATAAATGAAGTTCAGCGCTTGGTGTTTTACTATTTTTTCTAAAATTTTTAAGGCAGCAGGCAATATACTAATGGGCCGAAGCTCGCCAGTAGTAGAGGGATTGTCTACTTTGGGCACAGGTACTACAAGAGCCATTTTCCAGATATCCGGTACTTTACCAGTCTCAAGAGAAAAATTAATAATATTTACAAGTGGTTTAAGACAGGCAGGAATACACATCTTTAACCTTTTAATGGAGATACCATCGACTCCAATAGCGTTGCTCTTGGTACCATTAATGCATTTTAAAATTTCATCTTCTGTTACTAGCTCAAATACAAACGGTTCTCCAACAGAAACTGAATTGAGAAAGCCATCCAATACCCCTTGGCTAACTAGCAATTGCCCAATTCAGTTGAATAATATGTCTTTTCAGCTTTAAATAATTAAAGCTGAAAACCGGCAGTAAGTAAGTAAGTAAGTAAAACCGGCTGGTATAAACCGGCAGTAAGATTTTTAAACTGAAGATAGTAGCTCTTGCTGGTCAATGTGCTTTGCATTTTAAATTTCCTGAAGGCTCTATGTTTAAGTTCAATAATTTTTTTTAGGTTGTAGGTTAACCAAGGTGGTCTCGGCTCTCTCAAAACAGCAGTCCTGATAGGGCAGTAAGCATTAAAAAGGGTTATTACGCTATTATCAAAAAATATATCTAACTTAGTATTTATACAATCAGTCCTATAGAGGTCCTGCCAATCAATAGAGTACAAGTTATTCAAAAATTCTTCAGAGTGTGCCATTTTTAGGCTCCTACTTTTAACAACTTTACTAGTTTTGTACAGTTTTTCACGCTTAAGCTTACAATAGACAGCCTCATGATCCGTCTGTATTGGTTCACAGGTAATGACTTCACTACTTAAAACTAAGTCATTTTTATTTGTTATTGCTAGTTCTAGTAAACATTCATGATTAGGAGATATGCGGGCGGGGTCACCAATTAACTGAACTAAATTAAAAGACTTAAGTATATCACAGATAAAATTGCGCAGGAGAACTTTTCTTTAACATGTTAATATTAAAATTCCCAGTACATATACAAACATCACTTTTACAAATTATATCGGGTAAGACATCATACAAACAGTGCAAATTGTTAAAATGAACTGATGGTGGTCGATAGACAGTACCAACAGTCACCTTCCTTTTATTAAGCTTTATTTGTAGCCACAATTGGTTCATGCCATTAGCATTTGGCAATGCATGTACTTGAACTTTAAAATTGGTACTTACATAAGCTGCTACGCCTCCATCTCTGCCGTCTCTATCTTGTCGATATAATTTAAAATTATCAATTTCATATAGGCTTGAGGGTACAGATCTATTTAACCATGTTTCAGAAATTGTTATAATGTTATAAGGGGATGACTGAATAAACTGTCGCACATCTGAAAATTTGTTATACATTGACCATGGATTGATGTGAACAATAAGTAACGATTCTTCGTTTTGATTCGGCAGGCATATGGGCAGCTTCGATTTCACCACTATTTCTTCCTCTGGAACTGGGATTTCCTTTGAAAATTCCGACCACGGCCATGTGGATAAAGGTTATCATTTGACTTTGCATTGGATTTGTAAGTGTCAACATAACAACCATCTGGCCAAAAATCATTTGAGAGGTACTGCGCTTGTAGTTCTTCAGGGACACCCAACCGGAATGCAGCACTGTTTGGTTGTTTATACTTTGAAGGTAGACGATGACACTGGTAGACATCCGAGAACTGAGGGTCCAGAACCGAAAGAATATCATCAGAAATAGTGTTTATGTCTAGATTTGAAACATAGATCCAGGCGAATTTAGCTATTCGTTCACCAATGTTTTTATTCGCTACCTTGAGACTTGGGCGTTGGGGTCCACTGTAAATTTTACCAGAGATAGTGCGGGTTTCAGGATTTTTTTAGGACGAGCATTTACAGCCATTAATTGTGGCCATGATGGAGTAGTATTTCGGTTTGGGTTACCCAATAGAGCCTTATTTGTCCTTCTGTAGTAAAAAACCGACCTTGTTTGCACTTTTCATTGCATCAGTGACCGCATTCAGTTTGATTGCCATTTGCTCTGTATAAGCAGATTGGCACTTTTCAACAACCATATCAAGTTTTGACTCGAGTTTTAATGATTTTTGATTGGCTTGCATGCCTAGGCGCTCACCAATAGCAGCCAGCAGGGTGGCACAACCATTTAGCCTTCTTGGAAATCTGCTTCTCAGTTAAGTCCACAGCTTCCTGCTCCTCGGGCTCCTCCTCCAATAATTGTCCCACTGGATTGAATGGTACA